TTGAGGGCTCCAAGATTCCAAATGCTTGATGGAAGGCTATACAAAAGGGCATTTGGCGGTCCGCTGCTGAGATGCTTGACCAGGGCGGAGGCGGAAAGAGTGATCGCCGAAGTTCATGAGGGTGTCTGTGCAGCCCACCAAATGTCCAGGACACTCGCACAAAGGATCATCTTGCTAGGTTATTTCTGGCCTACAATGAACCAAGATTGTGAGAAGTATGTGCAAAGGTGCAAGACTTGCCAGGTGTTCTACAAGTTTCCGGGAAGGCCTGCGACATACTACCATCCGGTTTCCAATGTTATTCCATTCGCAAGGTTTGGGATGGACATCATTGGAGCCTTCCCCCAAGCACAAGGGAGGAAGAAGTATGTCATGGTGGCTATCGACTACTTCACAAAATGGGTAGAGGCCGAGGCATATGCAACCATCACAACCAAGTTCGGGTCTTGATGTTGAGAGGGTTCGCGATCATAGGACATGGTCAAAATCTCCGAAGAAAGTTCGGGTCTTGATGTTGAGACTTGATGTTTCCAAAACCGTTTCGGATTATTCGTTCGAAATTTGAGCAAGGTTGCTGTTAGGCATGACACCAAGGCCAGAGGGGGAAAAGAAAGTGGCATGGTCAAAAGTGACCGGTCACTTTTTGATGTTCTGGATTGACAAGAAAATGCAAATGGGAAAAAATTAAAATTTGACCGGTCAACTTTGAGAAAAGCGACCGGTCACTTTTTAGTTGGCGGATTTGATGAAATCAGACAAAACTGGAAAAAATATTTTTTGACCGGTCACATTTTTGACCCGGCTTTTGGACAGGAAATTTGACGTCATGCTGGTTACATATTGCAACCAAGCCATCAGAACCTGGAAGTTGACTGGGTTAGAAAACAGGCGAGGAATAAACCGACCTAGACGTTTTCAAGTCAAGAAACCAGGACATGAGATGACCTTGAAGTTTTCAAGCCTTGCGTCTAAAGTGGTCTTCAAAACTTCCTACCTAGCCTACTACACCAGGACATGAGATGACCTGGACGTTTGTTGCAGTTCAACCTAGACACAAGCCGGTCCAGGAGACTAGTCAGGCCACATGACCTGGACATTTTCAAGAGATGGAATTAACCAGAACATGAAAAGACCTGGACGCTGTCAACAAAGCCTACCAGACCTAGACATTTCTAAGGCGTTAACCAAAGACCAGGACATGAGGTGACCTGGACAACTACAAAGGATAAAGCCGGTTACTTCTTTTGACTTGGAATCAAGCATATTCAATAAAATCGTCAACCAAGCGAATGAGGCCTGGACGTTTTCAGGACCAGGACATGAGATGCCCTGGACGTTCTTTAAAACGATTCCTGAGGTATAAGGCCGGTTATTGTTTTCTAATTGGAAGTTAAACCAAGCATGTTCAAGAAAAGGCAAGTCTGACCATGCAACTTCAAGTAAGGACCAAACAAGGAAAACAACCATGCAAGAAGTATTGAGCAAGCGAGAAAAAGGAATCAAACCATGCAAACTGAAAGAAGAAACAAGCCGGTAAATTGTGAACCATACAAAACAAAAGATAATATTACGCAAGTCAGGAGTAGGCCGGACATCCCCCAGGCCTTGGTAAAATTCAAAGTTTTCTCAAATCAAACCCTAACCTACTCTAGGGGAAAGGGGGGAGCTGGATCTTCCGTATACAAGGCCGGGAGCTTCACTTTGGTCGGGTCAAAGGAATGGTCCCTCTTCTGAAGCCTGGAGTAGAGGAGTGACCTCTCATCCTTCTGACCACATTGGAAACCATATGAACCGATATCTGTTATCATCTTTTTTCCCTCCGGCTTCTTGTACATGGTCTTGAAGAAGGCCATTGTCTCCTCTGGCCCAACTAGAATGGACCGGGCAGTCTCGGCATGATGCCCGGCCGCCCATCGTGCAGCATCGTCAGGAAAGGATTGCTCCTTTGACCGGGCAGTCTCTTCGGCTTGGGCCAAGGCATCCTCCAGCTCTAACAACTTCCTCTTCGCCTCCACCAGGTTGGCTCTTTCCTCGTCTAGCCTGGCCCTCTCTTCCTTCAGCTCCTCTTCAAGTCTCTTCTCCCTCTCGGCCTGGTCATTGATCTCCAACTTGGCAGAATCAATAAGGAGGGTAAGTTCGGAGACCTGGTCCTTGGACTCCAGGAGTGACCGGCCAACTTCTTCGGATAGAACTCCAACCTGGAAAACAAGCTTGTCAGTAAAAGCGAAGGAAATAATTAAACCGGGAGGAAAATCAGCTTCTTCGGATACCTTGCTGAGTTTCTGGGCCAGGGATAAAAAGGTCAATTCAATGGACTCCCCTTCTAGATCTGATAGCTTGACCTTCTTCCCCCTTTCCCCCCTGGAAGTCTTGTGGGAACTCTTCCTTTTCTGAGAAGAAGAATGACCGGTCCCCTTCCCTTTGGCTTTGACATCCTTCTTGGGATGAGGAACCCGGTCACTTTCAAAGAGATGGGTGGCTGGAGGAGAGTTCGGTTTTTGGCTCTGTTCATGGATAGGGCTACACCGGGCACTTGTGGCCCCATCCATTCCAGGGAAGTTAGGAGGAGAAGGAGAGTTGGAGAGAGGAGACCGGTTGGAGTGGAGGACTTGGACATCATCGTCGCCATCCTCAATGATGGTGGTCATCCTGTTGAAGTTCATGTCTGCCAAAAAAGAACAAAGTAACCGGTTAGATTTTACACCTTATCAAAATGAAAGTGGAATCAAAAGGTTGAGGAAAATTAACCAACCTGGATGAGGAGAGCCGGCCTCAGCGTGACCATCCGGGGAATCAGCCCGGTTATCCTCAGCGTCATGGGTCGCAGACGCACCCCCATCCGGGTTAGCTAGCCGGAATACCCAGCCCCCATAGGCATAAGGTTTCCCGGTCACAGGATCACCCTTGAGAAGTTTCTCGCAGGCGTCCTCAAGATCTTTAGTGGGCTCCGGTTGAACCCTTTCAGGTTTTATAACC